TTTTGCCCTTTTTTTTTTTTTTTTTTTTTTTTTTTTAGCTACCCCCTTTTATATTGTAGTTTGAAGATTAGTTTAATAATAGATTTTACATGAAGTGATTTATCATTTTGCCAACTAAGTTAAAACACAGAATGACAGCAGCCCAGGGACTTCTTTATCCCTGCTGTTGATAAGCCTTCAAATATCAGATGCGTCATATGCCTCTCTTAGGTTTAAATTTCTCCATTTTAATATTTTGAGGGGAAGTATCATGGCGGTTTCTAATTATGAATGAAATCAGATCATTTCTGTCTGCTTAAAGAACCAGGAAGCAAAAAGTAAAGCAATACGTAGCTTGCTTCACCTTGTGAATGCCAACTAGATCAGCCTGAAGCGACTATTGAAACACTTCATCTTGCTTGCTCGTCACTGTAAACAACTTGAACAAAATGTAGTTAGGCAGGAACTGTGCTCACATCAAGAACCTTCATGTTTGTGTTCTCAAGTGAAAATTTTCAAGGAAAAATTTAAGACACAAATCCTGTTAATTAACATTATAATATATAATGTTGGGGTTTATTTTAACCAAGAAATGAAAATTACTGGATCATGTCAGAAGTCTAAACTGATGGCTCCTCATTGTCATCAACATCACAAACTAGTAATTTAGTTTTTTGTCACATGTATCTCATGCTTTTTGATAAACTGTTGATTAAAGCAGTGTACCTTTATTGAGATAGAAGCAATCACAATGCTATGCTAAAGATGTAACCTGTTATGGCTGTAAACAAGCAACTCAGTAACTGAAATAGTTTTGTGCACTAGCTTGAACTCAGAAGATAAAAATACTAGTGCATAAAAGTCAGTGACTGAAGAACTCTTCATGTTGAATGTGTTGCAAGTGAGTCATCACTTAATGGTCACTTTATGTGACAATGAGAAGGATTTTTTGCTCTCGCTTTAAACTCTGCTATATTTGAAGAGCAGCTTGATCCGTGAATCGGGTATGGATCAGATAGTATACATGCCAAAGACAATGAAGGCAGCACATATCTGCCAAAACAGTAAAAACAGTAAATATAAATAAAAAAAAAATATAAAAAAAAATCAAAAAAACCCCACCCAATATTTATTTTTATTTAAGTATGTAAGTAGTTACAGCACTTTTAGGAGTGTTACCCTGATCCCTGTTTGGGTAGAACTTCTTCCAATTTTAATTTGATTTCTCCAGTAAAGGAGCACAATGGTGGCTCCTACTAGTTTTTGAACTGATTATACCTTAAGAAAATTTCTGGTAACTACAGTGTGGTTTGTTTGATTTATCACCATCAGTATATATTCTTGTACAAAATTATATCCGTGAAGTTACTGAAGTAAGCCAGAGCTAAATTGCCAGAGACCACATCTACAGGATCCTCCTGGTGGCACAGCATGGAAAAACCCTGACTAATTCAGGACTTTACCGGAATAAAATCTATGACCTATTAGTTAAATGTCAAGTCCTTTAAAAAATAAAATATTAATTAGAATAATAAAATCTTGCATTTTAGATTTTGCAGACTCTCTACAAGCCTGGTTATCTCTCCAGAACAGGATCATTTTTTTTGCCTAGCGTAGGAGCCAGAAAACAAGCAAAAAGTCTAGCCAGTGAGGTGGACATTTAGGTCTCTTTCTCTGCTGGTATCAGTATCTGAGAATTCATGTATGGTTTCACATGTTAGAGATTACTACGGCTTCAGATTTTCTAGAACTCCAAAGTTTTGTGTTAAGGTCCAGCTGATGACTGTAATCTCGGTGAATCTAGATTTGGACTAGAATTTCATTTCAGTTTGTGGAATGATAGACTTCTGGTCTTTCCTACCACCCTCAAAAGGTTAGCATGTGTATTGCTGTTGCTAATTGCTTGGGAGATAAGAGGGAGGGCTGTAATTACACAAAAACCACAAACAAAAACAAAACAAAAAAACCAAACCAAAACGAAAATAACCAAAACAAAAAAACCCCACCAAACCAAAAACCCACACCAAAAAACCAAAACTAAAAAGGAAAAAAAATAAACTAGCTGCACAACAGTCACAGAACAATCAGACATTTCTAAAGTTTGTATTAGCAAGTTATAATGTTAAGGTATGGATAGAAAAAATATAGAAATAAATTTGTATGTCAAGATTGCCTCCAGCTTGGGGCTAACTCGGGTATCCAAGTGATTTCTTGCTCATCTTTGTTCCAATTCAAGAAAATAATCCCTTCTCCTTCATGACATAGAGCCTGAAAGTTCTCTCTCTACATACCGTGCCAATGAATAAGGTCCTACAAAAAACGCTAAAAGAAGGTTGTTTTTTTTGTTTTTCTAAATGTTGTCTAAAAGGCTTCTGTTCCATTTAAATAAGGAGATCTCTGTGAGCTATGGAGTTGGAAGGTTACATGGGAAAAAGGAGGAGTTTTCAGTCATGTGAACATCATCTCTTCCTGCAGCACAGTCAAACTCCGCTCGCTGCTGGGAATTTTCACACAGCTATCTGCAATGACGAACTGGATATGCAGGAAAACTGGTTGAAAATAGTGAGATTTTTAGAATGTAATTTTTCTGTACAACTGATGATCAATTTTCATTTATTTTCAATGTGTAATACACCTTATCTATTAGCTTTTTTCAAAATTTAATTTTTCTCAGTGTTATTTAGATACATAATCTATTAACAGATCATTTTGAGATCATGTAATCATTTGAACTTAACTTGAAAGGAATTAATGATGAGATATTAAATTTGAAAAGTTTAAAAAGAACTGTGATGGGTAGAGGCAGTCTCATTCAGATCAGCTCACATTTATAGACTTTAATTATCAGTTTGGAATTTGTAATATTGCCTGAATTTCAGATGGGTGAGAATTAACACTGTACTGAGGGAGCCTAGACAGAAGGACATTAGTTGCGTCACAGAAACTTATTAAATGCAATGCTAATTCAACAGACGGATTCCTGCAAACAGGTGCACAATCTGAATTAATTTTTAAACTCTCCCACTCTCATATGCTCTGGGGACCTTAATAGTTCATATTGACAGGCACAGCACGTTGCTAATTTCATTCATAAACTTTAAAATTTCAGTACTTTTCAACATGTGAATCTATGAGATTTTTAAAAGTGTAAGTAGCATCAGGGCATCCCAAAACTAAAAATGGTAATTTCTCTCGCTGGGAATTCAAACCAGTCATCTAGCCAGAAGCATGGTGTTTTTATGAATGAAATTCATTTTACAAGCTTCCCATACAGATTTTTTTTAATATATTTTTGTACATTGTACAGCCTGTTACCAGGAAGGATTTTTCTTTTAATGTCATGGTAATTGGAAGGGGCTGGGTGAGAGATTTTGTGCCTTAGCAGAAAGCACAAATAGGTTGTTAGCTAACTATACCAGAGGACTAAGAGTGGGGTAAGTAAATTTTTCACCCCTGGAACATAGATCAAAATCTACTGCCTTTACTAAAAAGATGAAGGCCAGTGGGATAGAAATCACTACCACAGATTACATTTATTAGTTAATCCCAGTCTCTGGGGACAGACCAGTAAGTCTTTGGATTTAGAAATGGTTTGATTTTGGTTTTAGTCTGGGGGGCTTTGGTTGCATAAAGCTGCAAAGTGGCTGCATTTCTTTCCCAGTTTCCTGAGTATTAGTGTTCTGTACCGTTATATATGACCTGCAGTGCTCTTTGTGCATGTTCAACTGAGGCATGTACGGTTGTATTATACTTAGAAAATATATCTGGGTTTTAATTTATTTTTCTTCAGTGTGTGATCGAGTAGTTCACAGTAATAAATTAATGTCACAGTTAAACATCAGAGAAGATTATTGTAGGAAGACACTGCACTCAACAACCATGGCAGGACAAATGGAAAAACCTTCCAAAGACCTGTTAGTGTCCCAGTCATGCTGGTAGCCTGAGTACCTCATTTCTTTTGTTTATCTGTTCAGTACTGCAGTCGCAGAGTAGCAGTATTCATGATCAGACTACTAAAGATCTGACCAGATATTCAGCATGGTATGTCTTCAGATTTTTACAAAAGCAGTTTTGAAGTAGAACTTTACATCATCCTTGATTTTTCAGATAAGTAAAAAATATTTTTGGTGACATAGGAGATAAAACTTCTAATATTTTACTAAAATTCCAGTGTAATTTACTGACATTCCAATCGGGTGTTGAAATTTAAACGAAGGATCTCATTGTAGTCTTCTGTTTTTATGGTGAGGTCCCATTCAGGAAGCACCATCAGTTTTGTACCTCGATTGCATGCTGTACTCTTGTGGGTTGGCTTAATTTTTCTCTGTGATACTTTTGGAAGCTGAAATAGTGTTAGAATATCAGAAATGGATCATCCCGAGAAAACCAGCAGTATTTTTAGAAAACACTTATGACTGCTAAAATATGGTGGTTAAAAATTCTGTTTCTGCTTTGAGAGGTGAACGCCAGCTCTGGGTAGTAACAGCCCAAAATTGAATGTATAAAACTGATGCTCTTCAAGACCCAAATGATGGGTCTCTTCAGTTAGTTCAGGAACTGTTAGTATTAAAGTCAGAGGAGGTAGGGGATGTAGTTGGGAAAACTGAATATGCAGGCATGCATCTTAGATATATTACATACATGAAAACAACTTTGTTGTTAATTGAATTTTTAAATCCTGTTATTGTCCTCTCACTTTGCTGAACACTGATGATCGCTTGTGTGTGTGTGTGATGCCAAATACTTAACGTTTTCTGACATAAGTAAAATCTTACTGTTAAAACTCTCAAGAATTCCACTAATAAATTATGCTGTTCCAGTGTACTGGATTATGATATCTGTTAAATGCTTTCAGTCACATATGTAAATGTGAATTTAGTCAACTTGTTTCAGAGGCGCCATATTCCCTTCTTTTACTCCACTGAATAGAATATCAATTACTTGATTATGAACTGCATTTACTTCAAACCCATTGCTTTATGTTGTAGTTTAGCAGTGGCATGGGATTAAGGCATTTTAACACATATAGACCAGGTGTATTGCCTTATCTCTAATGGTTTCCTCTTGTTTGGAAAAATAATTCTTTCTAGTTATGCGCTAGCATTATTCATTCCATTTATCATTACCAGACTCCTGCACTCACATAATAGATTAGAAGTTAACTCAGGTTTCAAAGATCTTGTAAGACTCTTGTGCTTTAGTCCCTTTGATCCATCAAATCTGGCTTCTCTAGCTTTTTGCTAGAGATAATGAAGATTCAAGCCTAAAATACATTAAATAATGATATCTTAATGTTTCTATCAAAATTTCAGTCTCTACGGAGACTTGTATAACTCCTAAGTATTTTGGAGAAAGGAAGAGGGACTTTTGTGCATTATTTAATCTGTTGACTTTTGTCCAACAAACTCATACCTTGCCACATTCTTCTGTATAGGCATGTGAAAAGCAACAGTATCAGCTGCATTTTCTAAATTTCTCAAAGTATTTTGGTGAACATTTAAAGAAACACAGGTGTAGTGGTCAACAATTTTTATCCTCAACCAAGGATGTCTCTTTAAGTTTAAGCAATTAATTGAAAGATACTTAGCAGCAAGTAGTCAACATCTTCATCTTATGTCTGCCTGTGAAAAAATGTATGATTATCTAGACTGCAACAGTTACAATTGTGTCCACTGTATATTTTTTTTTGCCTTAAAAGCGTAAAATAAACCACTGCAAATACTGAACTGACATTGGCTACACTGAGCTGTAAAGTGAGACTTATCTAGCCCATCTTAATTTTCTCCCTGTCTGGGTTTTAGCCATCATTTTGTATTTTAACTTTGTGAAACATTTAGGGAAGGAATTTCTATGAAAGATTCTAGGGAAAAAACCAACACTCAGCCGCAAGCCAGCTCAGTTTAAGAGGGTTTACTTTTAGAAATGTGAATTCAAAGCAGAGAATAAACATATATAAGAAGGAAGCTCACCACTCAGGGTTCAGTTGTCAGCATGCTTTCCTTTAAAGTCATCGTGCATGAGTGGATTAATGTCAGGACAGCAGTGTAGAAATAAGAAGATACTAACACATACCTTTTAAAATTTGCCAGGTGCTTTTCCAGCATCAGCGCTATATGCACGCAAAGACTTGCTTCAGAGACCCGCGCATGTTGCTACCAAAACTTTTCAAGGCCTGCGAATCTTTGTAAATGATGAGCTCCATGAACTCTTTATAGGGCTGAAGACAGCTGAGAAGTTTCTAAAACCTGGAGGTCGCCTTGTAGCCCTCTCCTTTCATTCACTAGAAGATCGTATTATCAAACGTTTTCTTCATGGAATAGACATGACAGAAAAGTACAATCTTAGCTCAAGGCAGAAGATAAGACAGGCTCTGAAAAATTACTCCAAGGAAGAAGATACAGAAGAATTTCCCCATGGAAAATCCAACTCTAGGTGGAGTTTTATACAGAAAAAAGTTCTCACACCCCAGGCGAAGGATATTCAAACAAACCCAAGAGGAAGGTCAGCCAAGTTAAGAGCTGCTATTAAACTGTAAAACAAAATTTATGATTATATAATTGTATAATTTCCTCAAATTTTGTTTTCCAGAAGGCTAACTGGACAGATAGTATCAAACCAAAAAATAAAATGAAGGCTGTTAGAAAACATTTTTCTAACCTTCTTTTAAATTCGATGTAGTGTAGAGCATCAAAAGGTAAAATAAATGTAGATGAGTGGGTGTCACAAATTATACAAAAAAGCATCTTTTTAAAAAGAGCATCAAAACCAAAGTTTATAAAGATTACAGGTTTGGTGTATTTACAATATTTACTTTAGATTAAATTAACCCCCCTGACTTTAACAGTCTAAATTCAGTATCTGATTAAGACAGACACATTTTTATGGGGGTGGATTTCACACACCTGAGTCAGATGGCTGGTTTAGTCTAGAGTAAGTTTAAACTAACCTGAGAATTCATGACATATAAGTGTCTGTTTCTGACTTGTTACATGAATGCCTGGGGGACAAGTGCTAGTTCTTAAATTGATATCAGTATTTAATGTTCTATCCAGGAATTTGTAAATAGGCTCTTACCATTTTCAAAAATAACTATATATTTACTTCTGAGTGATCACTTGGTTATGTAATGTTTATGGATTCTAAAAAATAAAAATTATCTTGGGGAAAAAGGATACTTAAAAGACCACTGTTTGTGCTTGGACACCAGAAGCGAGCAGTCAGATTTGTATTGATCATTTGAATTTCTTCCTGTGACCATAATTTCTGTGCATAGACCCAATACAGCTTTTAGATGTTGATGGAATTATAATTAACCCATCAAGAAAGGGGTATTGTGAGTCTTCTTTATTCTCCTTCTCTCTTCTGTATTCTCCTTTGCTGCTGATCATTTATTAAGAGGTGCTCCTTAGGTAAGTATTTAGTTGTTTTATAAAAGGCCCACTGTAACACCAGTTTCCTATTTAGATGCTACACTAGGTAGTAGAATATCTAACAATTTATTTTTTAGTTAAGTTAATATGAATTGGATTTAGCTTTGGGTTTATATTTTATCTCAAAAGACCATTGTTTTGCTGTCTTTGTATGTTAAAAATTATCAGAAAATAGGATAAATTTAAACTTATTTGACCTCTGATTCATCTCTTCAGGAAAAATTCCTTATTTGGATAATAAAATCGGTATCAGGATTTCATTTGTGATGAATCTGAAACTTGGCTGATAGAATTAAAAAGCGCAATTTCTGACTCTGAGATAATTGATTACTGCACTAGCTTCTGAAAGGAAACTGACTGGATCATTCTACATTTGATTTTCATCAAGCATCCCCTTTATGTTGATGTAAATTATTACTTCATGGGAGTTTTTTGGGTCATATCAACACAAGTTGAAATTTAGATCCACTGTGATATACCATATATAGAAATATTGTAATATTGTTTAATTTCTTGGTAAAGCTAAGTCATGTCATGTATTCTTAGGTATACACATGATGATACCTATCACTAATCTGAAATAACAGCTGAATGATGACGGGCATTTCATACTCTTCTGAAATTTCAATATTTTTCCACTAGTTTTGTTATACATGCTATTAAAAATTAAATAAAACATTCTGCTTCAAATAATATTACTTACTGCTGACATCTTAGAGACAACAGACTGTACCTTAAATAGACATTTTTTCATCCAAACATTAAATATAAATAGCTAACGTTATTTTTAGCTAAGACACCATATTGAAATGTACTCCAATTGTAGATTGAAAAAGTTGTGCCTCCAACAGAGGCTTAGAAGAGTTGTAGTGCCATGCTGTGCATTGTACAGGAACACACTTCAGGAAAAGACCATCCAATTATAGCAGAAGTTCAGTATCTGTATCCCAGAGATTATATGAAAGCATTAACATTACTTATGCTTAAAACGATGTTTAAAATCCATGCTTCTCACATCTAATTTCAAAGGCACAGTTTCCTATGAGGGTTGAGCTACTGTATATCAGTTCTTGTAAATACACTCCTCCCCCAGGGAAAGTAAGAGAGTGTTCTTTACCTTTAGCCGTGGCAGTGCAGCAGTCATTGAGCTCTTCTCTGCAGAGGATCTGTTTCTTTCCTCTCAGGTTCATCTCACTTTCAGCTTTGAACTTGGAGTATGGAGAGTCCTGCAATTTTAATCTCTGCTTTCCTGAAAACAGAATTTTCTGTTTTTTCACATGTCGTGGTTTTAAGGTCACCCAGCAACTAAGCACCACGCAGCCTCCCAGTCTGTCCTCCCTTCCAGTAGGATGGAGAGGAGAATCAGGACAACAAAAGGTAAAAAACCTCTTGGGCTGAGGCAGGGACGGGGAGGGTTCACTCACCACTTACAGGCAAGAAACAGACTTGATTTGGGAAAACACAAAACCAACCAAACCCGGAATAAGATAATGAGAAACAGACTTGATTTGGGAAAACACAAAACCAATCAAACCCAGAATAAGATAATGAGAAAGAGAAACATCTTGGAAAGGCACCTCTCCCCCACCCCTCCCTTTTCCCGGGCCCAGAGGCTTTCTTCCTGGTTTTTCTACCTTTTATAGTCTCATCTGCTGAGATTGTCACTTGACTTGGAAAAATCCCGCCTTTTATAGTCTCATCTGCTGAGATTGTCGCTTGACTTGAAAAAATCCCAGTCTGAAACGTTGGCTTTTGTACAGATGTGCTGAGGTATTTGATAGATGGAAGTTGGAAGGAGAGGATTCCTAATGAGTACAAGCGGGGAAAATCCGGACTTCAGTAAACACTGTCCGCAAGTGGCTCTCTTTCAGTAGCAGGTATTGTATCGGACCTTCTGCATGCTGCTTTCTAGAGTAGCATTTTTGTGATTAATAATGAGTCATATAATTGCTCTAATATTACTCTTTGTATTGGAGAAGAGATAATATTAATTGAAGAGTTTATGCTCCTAAACAGTGTAGCAGCACAGTGAGGGAGGAAGCAGGAGGAGCTGTGCCCTGAGGAAAGGTGACAGGCAAGGGTGGGGTGATCTCAATAAGTGGTCTTAGATGCAGATTGTTGGTGATTTTATTAGATTAATTTAAATTTTAAAATAACTTAGGTATCAGTCTTGACTTATTGTTTGGAGTATCACTGTAGAAAAGTACTCATGAAAAATGAGAGGAATTTGAATAAATAGAGAAGTAATGAACTCGAAAGCCAATTTGTTGTTGCCCATCTTACTTAACATCTTTCCCTCCAGCACAAGTAATAAAGGGTTCAGACCTGCTTTTCTTGTGCCCCAAAATCTCTCCAGGAAGGGCCCTTCAGTAAGAATAGGACCATTTACACCATTACAAACGCTGGTCAGTGGAGTATGGGAGTTGGTCTTTGTATCCGTACGTTTATTTTTTCATATAGCAGTTCTTAAATCTAATCTGTAACTTAGAATAATATGCAATCATATTTATTAAGTCTTTCAAAAGTATAATCAAATGTGGAGGCCTTTTTACACCTGAGGTATACTGGAATTAAAGCAGGATTTTGTGGATTAATTAAGACTGCAGTGCTACAGTGAATCTTGCAGATAATTTAAATGGATGTAGAACGGCTTCTTCCCCTTTCCTTCTCCCAACCCCTGTAGAAAATAGAGGAGAAAAATATGTTTAATTAAAAAGTAAGAAATAAGCAGTAAAATTGAACACCTTAGAAAAACATCTAATTTGTGAT